CATCTTTATCCAAGATATGCATCAACGCTGCCCTTGGGTTTGATACTTTTATGATAATGAGACACGGGTACCGCCCACCTGGTACTGGCCCATCTAACGAGACCAGACGCCCTCTCTTTAACCACATCCCTGGGTCACAGTTAGGCTGCTACTTTTGTAACGATGTTGTAGCCCCCACTGACTCTACTCGTGACCGTACCCTAGACCAGCAGTGCACTGTATCAAGGCCTGGTCTCTCCATGATAGCAGGTGGTCTGGCAGTAGAACTGCTCTCCTCTTTATTACAGCATCCTGATAAAGGGCTGGCCCCTGCTGATTCTAATCCTGATCAAGAGGACATTAATGAGACTGGGTCTGAGGCCAGTCCTCTTGGTATTGTCCCTCATCAAATTCGTGGATTCCTCTCTCGTTTTCAAAATGTCATACCGGCCAGTCAGAGGTTTGATAAGTGTACAGCTTGTTCTGATGTTGTCCTTGGAGAGTATGCTAAGGATGGGTTCCAGTTTCTATTGAAAGTGTTCAATACTCCGAATTATCTAGAGGACCTGACTGGTCTGAGTCAGCTGTATGCTGATACTCTTGAAGATCATGTGTGGGAACTGAGTGACAGTGACACTGAGGAGAATTAGGAACTATTATTATTATTATTATTATTATTATTATAAACCCAAAAAACAAGAACTAATTAGAGCTAATAATAGAGAAAAACAAAAAAAAGGGAAAGGAGAGGGAAGGCCCTATGAGGAAAAAATAAAATAAAATATTATTATTATTATTATTAGGTGTGATATGCTGCTTTATTGTTAACTTTTTAGTTTAATGCAATTTTACATATTTAGTGTGAATATTTGGTATCTACTGAATGATAGGAATTTTATTACTTGTAATTAAAGTATTATACGTAATACGTGGGTGGGGGTGGCTGAAAATGTCTTGGAAAAGGAACGAGACAAGTCAGTATATCTGTCTCTTCTCTTTATATCTCTTTCTTTCTTATTCTCTCCCTTACTTTACTCCTCTGTATCCTCTGCTTATTATAACTATTCACTATATTACTGTGTCCTCTTGTTATCTATAGTCTATCAACCAGTGGAGAGGAGGGATCACTCTACAGTACAGGTAGGAGACTACCTGTACATGTGGGGTGGGAACCCAGCCTGATCTCCCTGGAGCACACAATAATGAAGAGAAGAAATCAATGTGTTCTGTAATGGAGGTCTGTCACCTACCAACTGGTGAGTGGGTACAAAAGCCTAACCACTGGTGACCCTCCACTTGGTGTCAGTGGCTATGCTGCTGCTGTCATTAGAAATGAAATATTCTTTTTTGGAGGCTGGTGTGGTCATTTTGGCTGCTTTCATAATAGTTTATACAGGTAATCATAATAGTTACTGATAAATATTATATAATATTTTATACAGTTTTAATGTTGATACCTTCAATTGGAAGGAACTCTCTCCTACTACATCTCATCATGGTCCTATGATGAAGTACTTCTGTGGCATGATAGCAATAAAAGTGAATGGTGAGGACTATCTTGTAGTAATTGGAGGAGAGGGACCATCTTCTGTTAATACCCCAACACAACCTGGTGCCCAGTACAATCAAGATCTATTTCATTCCCAGGAACGTTGCAATGAAGTACATATGTACAGATTAAAAACTGGTCAGTATAATATGATATTAGGTTTATAAATGTAGTTTATATACAGTAATTAAATTGATGTACTTATTATGTATGACATCATAATCCTCCTGGTTACATCTTAGTACCCAACTACTATAACTGTAGCCTATAGCACTGGACTTCCACCTTGATTGTAAGTACCAGTCTCCTCAGAGATTAACATACCCATTGACTTACTAGTCACTATTAACAGACTGAGGGGTTTCCCCATTATTTAAAATTGGTTTGCTAGGGATGAGTCAGACAGTCCAGTATTGAGAAATGGATGTGAAGGGTTAAAATGTTGTTGTGGTATCCCAACTCTTCCTGTTCTGTCTGATCCACACTAGACTATGTTCTAATGTATCTATCTCTTGTGTTCCAATAGTTATAAAAATATAAATATTTCTAAGTTTGTAATTAAATACTGTACAGGGTTCTTCCCAGTCAGTGGTGGAATGTGGTTAAGATTTGTTCCTGCCCCATACCTCACTCCTTCTCTTGGCAATGCTAACCTACTCTATCCATGGCTTTGTATTAAAATTTTGGTGGAGCTTCATTTTTCCAATGGCGGAAATTTGCCAAATTTTCTCCCTGTTACATGTACATGTACAATCATTTGTCCAATATGATTAATTCACAGTGTGTGTGTGTTCATATTATTTTTATTATTTTTAGGTGAATGGACTTCACCAACTGTCACTGGAGACAGACCACCTCCTATTGATCAGTTCACTCTAACATCAATAACTAATACCACTGCTATATTGTTTGGTGGTAGTTTTGGTGGTAATACTGGTTATGGTGATACAAAGAATAATGATGTATATGTATTTGAATTTACTGATACATCAGTGGTGAGTGTATTATTAGTATAATTACATGAATAACATGTATTAATTAATAATGTATTGTACATGTATGTGTGTATTATTATTGTGTGTGTGTTTTATGATAATTAAATATTTTATTATTTTAGAAATGTACAAAGTATTATCCTATAAGACGAGTAAAATGGCCTAAGGAGATATGTGCTCATTCCAGTGTATTGATCAACTGTAGCTCAGGACCACACCTACTAGTGGTGGGTGGATCATTCCTCACCAGTTACCGTTGGTTGTTAAATATAAACAAAATGGAATGGAAAGAACTGGTAAGTATTATAATATAATTGTGGTGAGCATGAGTGAGTCCTACTAGTACGAGACCACTGTGATCTGTCTGTCTGTACATGTACGTCACTTCTCAATGATAATCAA